GGGCTCCTGCTGTAAATGATCACGAAGACTATTTTAAAGCATCAACTGATTTCAAATAACAGCTATTAATTTCGCAGTTGTCCATATAGAAATTATTGTTCTTGTCCTCTGAAGAGTGCTCCAGGCTTTGATTGCAGGTAAAGTTTTATGAACTGCTATGACTTACAAAGCCCTAAATATTTTGAGTACGGATGTGCCAGCACACTGTCTTTATCGTGAAGTGATGGTCTTTAGAACTTGTAAGTTCCTAAGAAAACATAGTTTAAGAATACATTTATGGTGGGGTTTTTTTGATTCTATGGTACCCCAGCTAAGGCTGGCTCCTCAAGGTATAACCTCAAGGATACATCCAAGTGAATAAAAATTACAGTTTCTTCAATATAACAAGAGCTACATTTTGCTATCCAGAAGGCTTGAACCTCTTTGTGCCTAATTCCCTCTGCTGAGAAATTTTGGAGAGAGATCTCTAGGCTCAGCTTCAAAAGTTTCTCTGTATATTTATACAGAAAAGATTGTAGGTCTAGTTTACGTAAAACTCCATGTGTGAATAAACATATGATTACCTTTTTTATGCTACTATAAAATGGAAAGACTTAAGGTGTAATCAAACGCTTTGCCACCCCACTGGCCAGATCAAGCCATATGCTTCTACAGGAATGAATGTTACTGGGTTGACTGAAAGCACAGAATTTATTAGCATGCAGTCAGCACATCCTTGTGACAGAAAACCAAAGAGTTATCTTTGCTTTTGTTACTCTGAGTCTGAAAGAAAGGAGTTGGGCCATTCGCTGTGGAGGAAAATGTTGCACAGCTGTTGTTCCCCGCTGCTGGACCTGTTGAAGGAAGGTGACCCACCAATATTTGAAGAGTAAACAACTTTGACAATAGCAGAGGCACTGCATGAGAAGCAACGGCTTTGGAATATATTATTTTAGCAGCCTCAATGCTTCTGGAATAGAGCTCAGTTCTGGGCCAGTAGGAAAAAGGCGCATCTACTGCAAAAGTCAGGGCTCTTAAAAGTATCTTGCTAGTGACACAGTGTGCGAGATCAGCAGTCCTGCATTTGTCTGAGAAAGTATGGAAAGTTAGAGGCAGAGTAAAAAGCTACTTACCTATAGTTATGTGCTGTTTGTTCCTTGACTGATCTCAATACCTGCTTCATCATCTCAGCAACATTCCACCTGGCAACTTCCCTCGCTATCTCTAGATGAATGCTTTGGAGCAGTAAGCTTTTGCCCTTCTGACTCTTCATCTACTACTGTTTCATCAGTTCAAAGCTTTTCACTGGCAAATTCTGAATCCAATGAAAAAGCGTATCTAGATTTTAGGATTTAAAATTCTTAAATAGCGAAAGACTTTTCAGTCTTGCTGAAAAACGTGGCTTAAGATCCAGTGGTTGACAATGGCAGACAAACTTAAAAGACAATTTCTTAGCAGTGAGAGCAGAGAAACATTTGCTGTTGCAGGTCTTTTAAGAAAAAAAAATCTGCAGATGACCTCAAAATACTGTGAATCGCTGGTTTATCCTTTCCTTAAGGATTATGGGAAATACCAGAAGCTGCATCGCCTTTGTGCCTGTAATGCTTGCAGCTCTGAACCAACTTGAGGACTGTAATTAAACTAAATGTTTTGTCTGGTTATGAGATCAGGACTAGACGTTTTCATCCCAGCGCATAATGTACCAATTGAATTCCTGTTTTGTTCCACATCCCACTCCACCTCAAGTATCCTGGATTGGTCACAGGTAGTAGACTAGAGCTTAATGCTTTAGGCCGATATACACAATTTCCCCTTTTCCACATTCCTATTTGTCCATTACGCTTATATTTCTCAGATCAAGAACTTATCTATGCATTTTTTGAGTCAAGAATTTTCCCAAAATGAGAATAACAAAGAATACTATGTTAAAAAAAGATATTTTTTTTTGGTAGACTGTGTATTTTTGTCGATCGTGTATATATAGAGCTCATCTAATTTTCTGTTGTCCCTCTGCCTGCAGCACGTAATGGTTTTGTCAATAGAACCAAAGCATACTAGTCTTAATAGGATTAAGCAGGAAAAAAACACCAATGACAGAGAAAAAGTCATTAAGTGTTATTCCTGTACAAATATTTGCTGATAAAGTTAGTAGGATTTTGTTGTGAAACAGATTCTTACTGAAGATCAGACCTCTGAGCGCCCTTCTGGTACCAAACTACTGAACAATGCAAATAGTCCCCACAATTCAGGTTCATACAATTACTTAAATCTAGACTTATACAGGTAATGCCAGTAATTGTCACCTGAATGAAACAGAAGGAAGTGTACTGTTTTTAATAAGAAAGTACTGCATTCTTTAACAGCAAAGCCTTTTTATTATTAACCTGTCTCATCCAGTGAATTTTAGAAGCTACTTTGCTGTAGGATTAAGTTCACGGTGGATTACACTTCCTCACAACTGGATTAAATCTAGATTTCTGAACAGATGGCTCAGCACTATTAAAAAAAACTATCAGCATTGATTCTTTTCACATAGTATTTTGTACACATGAAGTGCTGCTTTTGTAAAGCAAAAGATAAATAACAAAATAAATACCTTTTTATTTCATTATGTTACAAAGAGAAAATAAATATCCTTGAAATGAACACATATGCTCTGGCCAACAATCTACTTACAAATCTGTAAACTCACTGTAAAGATTTTTGTTGGGAAATTAAATTTCTGAAAGTGCTGCCTTTGAAAGACTTTATGGAGGAGCTGCCACTCAGAGGTCTGTAATGTGGGGAAATAAAGACAACAAATAGTTGTGCTTGTATTTTTCCCCACTGGAGAATTAATGGTGAGATGCCTTTGAGTTCTACATGCCTTCCTCCAAGGGAGATTTTGAGTACTATTATGAAGTTAACATGGAATATATGGAATCCTTAAATGCTTTTACTTAATAGTTTTCTTAAAGCATAGGATTTGTTTTCAACTGTTTTCATGGTACTTACACCACAAAGAATTCAGGGACTCTGTAAACATCAAGATTATGTAAAACAGCAGCACAGGTGGTATTTTCCACATAAAAAGCACATAGCCAGTTCTAAACAAAAACTGTGAGGATAAATTAAATATCCTTCTAACTTTTAAAGGCCTGCTAATCAGAAACACAGAGGATTCTTGAAGGTGCATTTGCCCTCAGATTATGAATAGACTTTTGAGAATTTGATAGCAAAAGGCAGGACTTTTATTATACAAGGCATTGTGGGTAGAGCTCAATATTTTTCTTGCTTTTATCCTAGCTCCCATAACTGATCAAGTCTCAATAGCAATTCTCTTCCCGTACTTCCTAACAATACAATGTATTACTTGATAAGAGAAAGCATTTGTAAAAAAAGACTTCTGGAAAAGAAGCAATATTCAAACAAAAACCATTTACCTTTAAAGAGACAAGAGACAAGCTTTCTGCAAGCAAAGCAATGAATGCCTTCTCTTTCTTCCTGTATACCCCAACTGCTGCACTCTGACCATGACTACCAAAATCCTTCAGTGAAAGTTTTAGTACCAGGACAATGTTTTCAAATGTTTGCAACTGACAAAGCTCTTTGTAGGTACAGAAACCCCTTAAAAAAAAAAAAAAAAAAAAAAAAAAAAGAGAGAGAGAGAGAGAAGTTACACCAAGTAAAGAGTAAGGATTCATTGATTCATTGTAAGTAAGTAAGTAAGTTACACCAAAGAAGAAGTTATTATGAATGTATTTACACAATTGTCAAAGTACACAAATACAGTGGTAGTACAAATGAAGTGCTCTGAGATACTGGTTTCCAATACACAGGTTTATATAGACAGTCTAACTATTTTCTGCATGATGGAATTTAACTATTATGAAGGACAAAAATTGCCCACACGTGAGTACAATTCTAGAAGTCTGCAGTCAACTTTTAAGTAGAGTACAGCAATCTAATATTCCAGATACAGAGAGAATAAAGAGGCTGCCTTTGTAAGTCCCTCTAACAGTACATTATTAACCACAGATATTTACAAGGAAAGCACAGTGAAGTGTAAAACTGTTCAAATGGTAGTGCACATGCCTAAAATACTGAAGTTTATAGTAACTGAGGAAATAATTCTCTTATGCAAACTTATCCATGGATCAAACTCTTAAGCTTTTCCACTATACTCTCCCCAAACACAGGCGTCCCAGTCAGACCCAGAGTACATACAGGCAAGTCGCTAATGTTCTAAAAACATCCAAAGAAGAGTGACTAATACTTAAGACATGGACATTTGAGAGGGGCAAAAAAGAATTTGTAAACACCAAAACAATAAAAATTACTCTTCATAAAACTTTGACGACCAATATGCCTTTAAAAAAATTTGCTTTCAAGCAGGGAAAAAATTCTCAAAGTACCTAACTGTTCAAACAAAATCTCTGTATATACTATCATTTCTAACATAGAATTTCCCATTACTTCAGTCATATTAGTATAAACAGTACTTCTGATACTGTTCTAAGTACTGCGAGAACAGAATACTTACTTTTATTTTATGAGACAGTTTACAGTAACAAACCATATGAAGAATCCCCCATATTCTATAACCAACAGGTGCTAACACCACCTGCATCAGTTTTTTGGACAACCTAAGCATGTTGAGTCACTCATTCCTAGCTAATGATTCTGGGCATACTCAGGTTGAATACAGTTAAGAATTAAATATGGTATGCGCCTGAATTGTAAAAATTCTCAGAATTTCACAGCAAGAATAGGTTGTTGGGGTTTTGTTTTGGTTTGTTTTTTTTAAGAATTCCTTTTTTGAGTCTTGGCATGAAACAGAAGGCCTGAATCAATTTATTTATTTATTTTTAAGCATGTAGGTGCTGAATGAAATGTGCAAAATCACTGAAGACTCAGTAGCAATGTCCATTTTCCACTTGCAATACCCTCGAAGCTAACCAGCCTCAGAGTGCAGGAAATAAAATTTTACCAATAAAGATGACGTTTGAAACTATCCATTTACCCAACCTAAGCAGAGAGATAGGACAAGCTTTCAAATTCTAAATTCCTCAAATGCCAGAGTCTCTCACTTTGTCCTTCATTTTCTTCACAAAGAAAGAAATCCAGTATCACCATCTCTACTATACTGAGACTCTCCAGCAGGGTATTTAGTCTTCCTCTTTTATGAAAAAGAACAAGTATTAAAAATTCCTTTGTGTTACACGGAAAGTTATATGTTAAGTGTGAATGAAGACAGCAAACAGCAAAGTAAAATTCTAACAGTTTTTAAAATTTCATGAGAAAACCGTCTCAGTCAGAATGGGACCATACAAATAAGTAAACAGTTTAAATAAAGTCAGATGGTTTTGATTCATTTACATGTTCCCTGCCAGACTAAATTTTTTAAACAAGAAATTTCAAGTCATTCTTTAGTTTAGGTTTGTTTATATTCTACAATTTTAAATCAGACAAAAGCAAGAGTTCTTTACAGAGAATTAAGCCAATAATTTTAGCAAAATGATACAAAAACTTTCTTAAACCAAGTAAAAGATTTATAGTTACAGTAGAATAATAAAAAGGGGGTAAAGTCTGCCGCCTGTGGAGGGAAAACTGAAATGGCCATCCAATAACAGGCGGTCAACTCTGTAAACCATCTTTCTTTTCCAGCCCTGTAACCACAGGGTTCTCTTAAGGTCATTGGGTTTCTGGCAAAAGCATCCATGGCAGCTGCTGGAGTCTGTCCATGTTCCTCCAAGTGCCTAAGTCACATGGAGAACTCCAATTGTAATGTTTCCGCTCTAGTTCAGTGTATTTTTGCTAGTAAAGCCATTGGTAACATAGGAGATCAGCCATGCATTATCTGCCCTCCATGGCAAAATAATTTTCATCGGTGCACAGCAGACTGGAGAACACTGGTAGTTACCCGAGCAGGAATCTACCAAAGCCAAAAAACAAAACAAGATCAGCACATATCCTTCCAGTTAACATACAAGTGGCTCTCAATGTACTTTTAAATAATTAATTGCCAAAAGTAAGTGTGTGAATTTAAAATCCAATGAGCTATACAATGTTTCGCACCCACCTGTAGCTACACGAAGTTCCCTGTATTTTCCTCCTTTATTAGAAGTTAACATGGAAAATTCACCTTTCCAGCCAGAGGGGATGTTTTGAAGAAAAGTAAACAGAGCATAAACATGCACAGAAGAAAGAACAAACCAGATGAAAACACTACCAATGTGTAGAAATAGACTCAATGAATAATCAAGTTTGGAAAAAAAAAAATCCCAATAAGAGGATAAAAAAAAATAATTCTTTTCAATGATTTTCATTTTTCATGGGACGTTGTGTTAAAAGACACTTCGTTGATTTCCATAGCTTGACCTATTTCAGTAACAGTGTAACATTATTTCAGCAACACTTTCACTGTGAAAGTGAAAAACAACCACACATCACTGCAACTTAAGAAGCAAGAAATGTCTAAGTAGCTGAATCAGTATTCAGTATTAATTTCAGTTGTAAACAGCTACAAATAGTAAGGCAGACAGTAACGGCCAACCAATGCAGACACAACCCTAAGCAGACCAGAATCTGCATGTCTCCCGCACACCAGCTTTCCAATGTAAAGCTTCAGGTTTGCCTTTTTTTTTTTTTAATTATTATTTTTATTTTTGACCAAGGTCTGACAATTGGACTTAAAAATGCTAAGCTGCCATTTACAGTTGGATCTTTTTAAGGTTACAAACTGTTCACGAAGCAGCTTGTGCACAGTCAGCCAAGCACACAAAGCAGAAGGAGAAAACAGAAGAGGAATAGCAGGATTCTTCACCAACTAGAGATACAGGGATTAGTGCAAGCTTAGGCTTTATAAAGAAAGTGAAGCAGCAGACAGAGTTATACAACAGAATTTCTTAAGGAACAGAAAAATTTCACAGCCTTTTTTAATAAGAAGCAAAGCAAAGAAGCTCCTGAAATATGTAAGAAAGCATCCTTCAGTCATCAAGGTTCAGATTCCAACTGAAACTTGTTACTTCCCTGATGAAACCTGTTATTGCCAAAAGCAGAACAGACTAAAAAGCCAAAAGCTGCACACAGAAAGGCAGAAACTACTACTGCACTGAAAAGTGGAAAGGAGTCCTTATTACCCAAATCCAAGTCTGCCTACCCCTGAGATGCTCATGTTCAAACTATTCTTATTAGTACGTGAACATTTTTAAAATACAGATCTGAATAGATCTGACTATTTTTAAAATGACAGCTCATAAGGAGTGGAGAAGAATATAAACCAGTGAAAAATGGATACGGCTGTAGTAGAACATTCCATTCACGACAAGACAGAGCCTCATTTGAGTAATATAGTCAATTGAGTCTTCATTCAAGTATTTTGATTTTACGATTCTGAAGCAGATCTGTTTTTGAATGGATGACACACTGCAGCATGAACATCCCTGGAAAGACATGCAATTCTCAAACAGCTAAAATTTAGACTTGGTTATTTAATTTTATTGTTGATGCTTGAATGATTTTAGGGACTTTTTAAATCACTATTTTTGTCAATTCTGCTTAAGAGTCCAAGAGGAACAGCAGCAATAATTCAACTTTTGGAAGGACATTTACTTTTAAGTCAGAGAAAAAACAATGCTCCATCAAGCATCTGACCGGAAGGCACAGGTACATCTATGAGATAATGTGAGGAGAAGAAGCAAAGTCGGATGTTTCCAAGGACTTTTTTCCCCACCCCATCCAAAGTTTTGGTGTCTAATGAGAAGCACTCACCCAGTGCTGCCTTCCAACGAAAGTAGACGAGCAGCTACTTGCCATGGTGTTCGAAAGGAATGCTATTCTGAGGTAGGGGAAAAGACAGCAATTTGTAACAGTTCCACTGCCCCAATATATAAAGATGTCTAACAAATATCCAACCTAAACTTGCAGTAGCAAATGTATCTGTTGAGGAACTCCGATTTCAGACTCAAAGAAAGCTGACAGAGTCAGAAGAACAATGCAGAGTGTGATGCCTATTAAGATGGATATATGGAGAAAGATTTGCCCATGAGGAGATGGAAAATGCAGAGGCATTGGAAGTATGTAGCTTCTTCCCTAGGGAAGCGGCCCAACACTTAAGTTGTTCAATGCCAGCGTTGGCTACAGTCTCCTAAAAACTTCTCCTGTCAAAGAGACTTAATCAAGTATTGCTTTGTGCAGCATTCCAATCTTTTCTTCCAACTATGGTGAGAATACCTCTATTACCAGTAGGAATCATGCACAGCTTTGACTGTTGGGTGCTGAAAATGCTACATTCTGAAAAAAAAATAAAATTAAACAACTTACAGTATACCATGAGCAGCCGGATTGAACCTTCTGTGAAAGGAAATGAAGGCTACTCACCCACAACTAGACTCTTGAGGTGACCACTGCTTTCGGGATGCAGTCTGTGCAACGTGGACAGACAGAACTGATTCAAAGTAGTGTTTACTGGAATACTCATGACCTCCTTTACTATGTTTCTCAATGTTTAAAGACTGACTATGTAAAGGAGACTTAGCGAACAGTTCACTCATAGAGCTCAAAAGCAGAAGGATCTTTTAACAGCTGATATGATTTTCTGTCCAGCACAGATCACAGCTCTTCATTGCACAGAGACTTGTAGTTTAGGCTTGCTTTAGACCTGAATACACCACCTAGAAATGAATCCAGTTTTGATGCAAAGGCAAAGGGGACAGATGATCTACTACTTCTAGTTCAGTGGCTAACTTCCTTCACATAGATTTCTGTTTCACTCTTCTTTAAATGCAAGTGGTTTTAATTCTAAGCAATAGGTTCTTCACATACGTTTTCTGCATAAATGTCAGTTCCTATTAAAATAATTGTCTCTAAAATACTACACCAACTAACTCAAGATGACCTCTTACCTTTCAGACAAACAGAAAGATGCTGATTTGAAATTCTTGCATTGTACAGTCTGTTTCCCCAAAGTAAATTTTTATGGCTCTTCTTTGTGCTACAGTTTTCCAACAATTTAAGATACCGAGAAGTGAACTAAGCATAATATTCCAGCATCTGTCTCATTAATGACATGAAATAACCTCTCAGTTTCTGTTCATTAGTGTATCATACAATAAGATTCAAGGATGAAATTATGCCCTTTCATTATGATATCACACTAACCTCTCCAACATTACACCTAAAACCTCCTCAGTCATCGTTTACCACAGATAAAGTTCCCACATATAAGACAATGGGCTCTACTCCACCCTAATCAGGGTTTGGCATACTGCAGTAATACACATTTTATTTGAATAGGCTTTACCTGACTGCTCAGCTCTCATTGACATTTACTGCAGTCAAACATCTGAAAAACTTGCAGGTTTTTAGCTGTTGCATTTACTTCCATATAACTGAGAAAAGTACTGAGTAACCTGCACCCTAGAATTTACGTCATTTCATTAGAAACACTGAAGTTTCAGGAACGGTTTCGAAGGCATGCTAATTACTCCAATGAACACTTGTTACTTAGTGTTACAATGTGCTATTCTTTCTAATGAGAATGATTTAGGTACTATGTGGACCATACCTTGGAGGTGGGGAATATACATGACATCTGTTTTGCTGTCCTTACCAATTACCATTTTCCCATGACTGTTAAATTTCTCTGAGAAGACCTATTTTACATAAAAGAATTTTGGTTTGTATTATCTACATTCCCAGCCTTACTTTTCAGTTTCAGTCTGAACTGATTAGAACTCATTTTGGAAAAAAAGAAAGATAAAAATGTGGAATCGTCTTTAAGAACTCTACGTAGAGCTACGTAGCTTCATTATTTCTTTGAGTAACCTCTGCACATTTCCACTGCCCAGAGTTTAACAAGCAGTAGCCCTTCCTCTAGATGATGAGAGGTGGAAATTACAGATGCAGCAAACCAAGGCATCCAAATAAAATAAAGCAACAAAACTAATTTATCAACGTAAATATCAACTCTTACAAATGTAGTTCTTAACATAAGACATCTGTAGATCTGCACAGCAAACTTTAAAAGCTGTCTTCTACTAGGAGTATGGTCCAAGCACTTCCTGGAAAAGGAACAGTGGTAGCGTACTTACCTAAGACTTAAAAAGGAAACTAACGCATTTGGAACGGGCATGGAGAAACAGCTGCTGTTCTTTACTGTTCGCCTGATAAGAAGCGGTATGGATGATTTTCTATATTCTTACACCTAGCCAATCAAAATTCTCGTTAATAACCTTGCTGTGCGAGTTCAATACTTTGGATTTTCCTGACTAAGAACAAGTTATAAAGACAATGGGAAACCCATAGCTTTAACCAGTAACCTGGTTAACATCTAAGGATAAATTTTGATTATGGAAGAATTACTTTAATGTTATCAAGACAGTAAGAGCATAAGCTATAAAAACTTGCAACTTGAGCCATCTTGCCTGCTACAGAGTAAGCAAAAACTGGGAAAGTATAAAGTAAATTTTCTCTAACAGGCTCAAGGGGAAGTGTTATAAGGTAAAGTTTAAGTAAATCTCTCTTGTCTTCCAAATCTGAGAGGCCCATGGGAAGCTGTTTAAATTACACTACAGTTGCACACTGTTATTCAGTCACCATGAGTGGAGACCAGCAGTGGTTCACTGACTTGATAAGAACTAAATGAAGACAACAGACGATGAATGATTAATTCTAACAAACTCAGAGAAGATCACAACTAGGCTGCTATTGGGATTGTGAAGATGTCAACCCAGTGATCCCATGCTTGGAGCAGAGCGTTAAAAAGGCTGGATATGAAAACGTGCCATTAAGCCAGAGTGTACTGTTGGCCCACACCACAAATTACACTCCTGGATATTCAAACATCACTCAAAAGAACTCACAGCCCGACACAATCTCAGAGTACTCCCATTTTACAAGTCAGGCAAAACCAAAATGTATCTGCAAACCCACCTGGATTACTTGTACCTTACAACATTTAGAAAAGTGTCACATGCACGCTGAGCTACATGTCGGCAACACAGCAAAAAAATTAAAGATATGCTCTCTTCTAACACAGGCAAGTAACATCACTGCATTTATTTCTGTTACTCCCATTAATTATTTATCAGACTGGTAACAGAGATAAAGCATCTGAGATTTGCTCAGAATACCAGAGACAAACCCTGGGCATACACACTTTACCAGGAATCCATCCTTAAATTTCAGTAAACGTGCAGGGGGAAGTCGGTGCCACAGCCTCACAGAACAGCTGAGGTCAGAAACAACCCTTGGAGTCCAATCCCATTACCCAAAGCACAGTCAACTAGAGCAGACCGCTCAGGACCGTGTCCAATTGGGTTCCGAGTAATTTGGAAGAGGGAGACTCCACAACTTCTTAAGACAACCAGTTCCAGTCATTGCCCACCCTCATAGTAAAAAAGTTTTTTCTTATGTCTAAATGGAATTTCTTATATTTCAATTTGCGCCCACTGTCGTTGTCCACTCACTGGATATCGCTGAGCAGAGTCTGGCTGCACCTTCTTTACAGTCTTCTATCAGGTATTTATGCATATTTACAAGATCCATAACTATGCACAGTTCTACCTTCTCTGTTTACACACTGTTTACAGATTTCAGCCATAAAATACTTCAACATAAGAATTTCTGGTGGCAAGAGTTGTAGTTCAGTGAACAATTTAAGCTGGCCAAAATCGCCACCAAAGCCAACACAGAAAACCTCGCCTGTCTCCTATTCTCGTCCAGTCATTTTTGCTCCTGAACCATTCATGTGCAAGCACAAACATTTGTGCAACTATGTGGTGAAACAATTCATTCAGCTGAAAACATACCCCAAAAATTCCACCTCCCTTTTGTTACAGCAGTATTGTTTCTCCAATCCAGTTCACCCTGTCTTCATTAGAAATACCCATCTGGCCTCCATCTAAAAGAGCGCTCCCTCTAGCAGTATGATTTTATATATAAGAACACGTATTATCCAAAATAATTAATTCTGCCAATTAAATGATGAAGTCAAAAGGAATTGAGTTATTTTTATCAATATGCTCTGGCAATGAGGCATAAAATGAGTCCACGGCAAAAATTACATAGTTAGAACTCCAGCACAGCATTGAGCCATGATGGAAAAACCCGTAGGTGACTGCACCAGTCCCCATAACATACTGCTCTCTCAGTAATGTTGCAGTATGCCTATAGTAGGCCCATTCTGTAGGTAAGACTGAAGGTAAACTGTACCAAGGCAGGCCACACACTACTTAAGACAAGTCTGTGTGAATACCCTGAAAAGGAATGTTTCAGCTATAGCATAAACAGTTAAAAATAAATTTAAACATTGTTTGCGAGTCTTAAAAAAGAAGCATTCCTAAAATATCTTTGCTAAGTCACCGTGACCAATGAGGATGATTTCAGTGCTGACTATGGCTATGAATCACTGTATCATTCATACTCCTGCCATCCTCTTCAAATCAGCCTTCTGTGACCTATCCATCAACCACATATCTGCTTATCTGCTCTGAATTACAGTACAACACTACAACGTTTCTTCACTTTTGCACTTTTCTGTTCTTCACCAACTATTTCTTGTCTATTCTGCACCAGTATTCTTTTCTCTGTTGATTTGGAAACATGACTCCCAACTGCCTCTAACTTACTCTGCTTCCTCATTGATAACAGATGATAACAGAAGTTCAGTAAGCAAAGGAGCTAAACACCATAATAGTAGGTAAAAATGCTGTATCTCTAGGATTTAGCATCATCTAGTACACCATTGACTCTGTATTACCTTGAGTATCTTATGCTTATTGCTGCCAAGGTAAAAAAAATGTTTTTCTTTACGGGAGTCTACAGCCACATCACAAACATTCAGTTAAAATGTCAAGTATTTATACAAGCCAGCATCATCTGCAAAATCAGCATGAAATCACATCAATTAGTTGGTATGTTCTTTTGGCAAATTAACTTTATCAAATCACCCTCATTTTTCCATTACACAGAAGCCTTTTTTACCTGCGAAGTTGACATGCGAGAGGTATCTTGTCGGCCTGTTAAGTCAGACGATGAGATATTGACTGGGGCACCACGATGCAATCTCATACTCACTTTCCTTTCTCGTTCCATACCAGATACTGGCCGAGGAGAGGTGTTCGCTGTGAGAAAAACTGCATTAGACTCTCATAACAAGAAATAGGATTATAACGTGGTCACTGGAAAAATTACACTCTCGTTTGCATATAAAAAATCCAGAGTCAAACAAGAGAAATCAAGGCCGCTGTTTTACATTCACAGAAATCTCAGTAGCAACTGGCAGGTAATGAGTGTTTACAACTACCTACAATGCACTGAAAAGCAAGGGGGAGAAAAAACAAACAAAAAAACCCAAACCCCGACCACAGACAAATACCATTCAGGTATCCTAATTCTAATTTAAAATTTCCAATGACCAGGAATAAACTACAAATTAGAGTAGTCTACAAGGTGTGTCTATCCAGGTATTTCCTTACTTACCAGCATGTGAAGTTGGGGTAAGAGGAGTAGGAGGAGCTACATCTTGCGTTCCTCTCAGCCTGCCCGAAGCAGTGGAGGGTAATCCACGCACAGCTGGGTTTCGTGTATGTCTCAATCTTTCCTCTCGTTCTCGCCTTTCACGTTCAGCATCTTCAGCTGCTCTGCTTGCACCCTACGGGTCAAGACTAGTGAACAACTTGGGGGATTATTGAGTTTACAAATATATATCCAGATAAAAATACTGACAATAAAGAAGTGGACAACCCGGGAACTGAAGTTTGCTAGGGCATTAGACTCCTCCTCAACAGCTGAAGATCAAGGTGGGAGAAAATAGTAATTCCACAACCTAGCATGGCGACTGCCCTGACAGAAGTGTCTCAGAAGCCCCACACGTTTAAAACTCTGTAACTTCAACTTAGTTGTCATCAACTCATTCAACAGCCATCTCATGGCTCCTGTATCTCCTGCCTTTCCTAATTTCCTGATCTTTCTTCCTAGACAATAGAGTTTCCAGGAGGAAAAAGGCAAGACAATCTTACAGTATCAGTTAAGATACTCAAAACTGACAATGTAGTAAAAAAATACCATAAAAAGAAAAAAAAAAAAAGTTTTAGAAAGCTGTGTCAGCTACTCACAAATTTCAGCATGTTCCAGTCAAACACGTAGTCATATGAGAATCCTTGTCGGTGGAAGAGGTTTCTGAATAATTGCCTTAGATAGGAATAGTCTGGTTTGTCATCAAAACGCAAAGAACGGCAGAAATTCAAGTATGTGGCAAATTCAGCTGTAATAAAAGAAAGCCTGTTTTTTACCTTCAGCTTCACATTCGCTTTTTATAATTCTGAATCACACACACACACAAAAAAAAAACCCACAACCACCCCAAACCCAAAAAATAGGGAATCTCCTGAACATAAGAAAAAGAATAATGACCTAATACCAGAAATCTACTGCAGGCGACACTATGGCCCATTTATCAAGTCAGCCCTGAAAAGGAAATTATTTGTCTACCACAGAGTAGGCAAAGATCTAATTTTTCAACAGCAGAGAGGACCCAATATTAAAGTTCTTTAACCAACAGTTTGAGGGGGAGGAAAAGTTTAAAACTACAGTTGAGCAAAGAACATATTTTGCCTTTCTTTGCATTGAATATATTTAAATGCAATTTATTGCAGAACATGAAATAGCATCTCTTTGTTGTAAAGTCACATAAAGCTTTATGTCTGCTACCTCACAAAACATGCAAAAGCTAGGAGACCCATATAAATTTCCCAATGTAAGTCACGCTACAATTTTAGATTTGCAATAATCTGAATACCTGATTTATCTGGCACACAAAATACTAGTTACACAGCAAAAAAAATAGTATCATTGTGAATTCAATGTGCCAGAGAAAACAGCAGTATCAAAATACCAGCTTTTGAGTTCAGGTCTTTTTGGCTGAAATAATATATTAATAATCTACATTAAGAAAGAAATCCTAACAAACAGCACAAGAAAACTTGTTTAGTCTTGCCTGCCTGTTAACCCCAGAGAAAAAACAGTTAATGAATGTAAAGGAACACGTATGAAGTGCCATTTGAAACAAATCGAAGACAGTAAGTTTTCATACAACCCTAACAAAAACTATAGTTCTCATTATTGTACCTAGCTGCTGAAGCCAAGAGCGTGGAAAGAACAGAGACAGATCTATTAATGAAAAGAGACAGATCTATTAATGAAAGATCAACAATATTCCCTGACGGCAGCTAATTTTAACAAGTTTTAGAACAGATTTAAGTATCATTTTTCAGGGCTCAAAAATGCCTAGTTATTATTATGGTGTAAATACCCAATTGAGAAACAGAACAGCTTTGAGGCATGATGCTAGGATACAGGTGGATTTCTTATGCCTGTCATGGATGCTGACCATCAACAGGCCAAACTAGGTGAACCTGCAATGACAATTCCCAAGTGAAACAACTGCAATAGGTAAGAGGTGCATCTGACTACACAATCCAATTCATCCAAGAATCAGTACCCACACATACGAAGAAACATAGCTTTTTAAGAAACTATTTGTTTGTTAGAGTTATCCAGCCAGCATAAACGCATGCACACACAATACAGCGCAAATCAGATGTACCAAGCTACCCTTCAACTCAAGGGCACCACAATGATTGTTTATTAATAGTTAAGACATGGGATAAATAGAAATGGTCTATGATCACAAAGATCCCACTCTTGAAAGCACAGTATCTTTATCATGGACGTGTCCAATCATGGCGGGTACAGGGGGAGAGAGAGAGAGAGAGAGAAATAAAAAAGACTGGTAGAATTCAATGTAAAGAAAAAAGAAATACCACTATAACGCAAACCTGTAGGCCTAGTGCCACGTAAGAGTAACTTACAAGGATATCCTTTACACAAAACCTCAATGGGTGTAGACATTTTCTTTTCACTGATACGTTCGTATTTCTGCCTCTTTGTTGCTGCTTTCAGTCCCTGCCAGGGGAGGGAGCCCAGGTTAAAATACATCAGTACATAGCCCAAGGACTCCAAGTCATCTCTGCGAGATTGCTCTACAACAGCATAAAAAAGTGGAGTCATTAGGTTTCATCTTCTACTGGAAAAACAAAAGACTGTGCAACAAGACTGTAACAAAAACCCTTAGAAAAACAAGAGATAGCTGAGAGTTACTATGCCCATAATAAACTCATCCAGTACAAGAAAAGACCTATCACCCTTGCAGTTATTAAAAAACGTGCTAATTCCTGAGAATTACAAAGTGACCAAATCCCACCCAATCAAGAGATACAAAGCCAAGCATGCTGCACTGCTAGTGCCAGAACTAAGGAGATTGTCTTCTGTGCCTCCATAAAGCAACATCTACTTGCACTAAAATTATGTGCCTTGACACTATTTCTATTTATTGCTTTCCCCAGCTCACCAATTCCAAGGTGAGTGTTGATGGATGCATAACGGGCAGTTCCTGTTAAGTTTTTATTTTCACGATACGGAATATGTTGGTGAGTTCGAGCATCTCGATACTTCTTTGCTAATCCAAAGTCTATTATGTAGACCAGATTGCCTTTCTTCCCCAGGCCCATTAAGAAGTTATCTGGCTTCACATCTCGGTGGATAAAGTTCTTAGAGTGAATATATTCAATCCGACTAATCTAAATACAGAGAAAAAAAAAAAATCATCATCAAGAGACTGGGTATATACCTTTTTTCGCATAAAAACACTAGCAAAACTGTTGTAATGATAAAAGAGGTAAAGAAACTTTTTATTGTAAAATGTAAGGGCATTAAACAGAACATAACCTAGAAGACAAGACAGACAAGCCTTCTCTCCAGCTCTTTCCTTTTTCTTTCCCTGTGTATTTCGCATTTGTTTCCAAAAACTTTCTTGGGGAATTTATTTGTCTTCGAGCAGTGTAACACCTGGTTGGCAAACAGCACAGGCCCAGTTTTTAAAAATCAAATTAAGACTTTGTAGCAACTTTTGTTGCGACACTTTATATTTACAGAAAAACAACTATTTTTGAGTCTTTTCTCTAATGATACAGCCTATTCACCTCTGAATTACAGAAAAAGAAAACGTAATTAGTTACGATCTCTCAAGGAATTTTAATATCCCAACATACTGCACTATCAAGATCAACAAAGCAGTTTCCTACCATTTGGTCAGCGAGTAACAGGACTGTCTTGAGACTAAATTTCCTTGAACAAAAATTGAAGAGATCTTCAAGACTCGGTCCCAACAGTTCCATCACCATTACGTTGTAGTCCCCTTCAGCTCCACACCACTTAATTGTGGGAATACCCACTAGAAAAAAAGGAAACAGTTTATTCACCATAACAATTTGATTTATACATTTCATACACACAAATCTTCAAGGCTCTCTAAGAAGGTCATTACTATGAATGTTTGTATTTACAGTGAAGCTTAATATTTTATGCTTTCAGCCATTCTAAAATGAAAATCTTGATAATTTCACAGCAGAACCAATATAAAATTACAGCAACAGAGGTCTAAAAATAGCCTTTTTCCTCTTCCCCAGAAACTTCCCAGTCTTTGCACTTAGCTTGTAACTTTGAAGTATTTACTGGTTTTACTGGATTTGAACCTTAAGCATTTTACAAGTTTTAATACTCATGTAGTCTCCCAGATGGCCACAAGGAGCAAACTGGAAGTCTGAAAATAGACACTGACAAATCACTAAATATTACTGCTGAAGAAGGTCTTAGAAATTAACTTCTTTTAGTTTCAAAGCCTACAAAATCCCTGTAAAATACCTCTCTCTTCTATTTCAATTTGCAATGAATTTTCACCCTTGCTTCATACATTTGTCATTCCTCTAGTTCCACTGCATTTGCTGTTTGGTAAATCTCTACCAAAGTCGCACTGTTTATAAGACGCTTGAGAGCGCTAAAATTAGCCCCGCTTTATGGAGAAACCTAGGAAAGTTATTTCACACAGAACTACAGAATTGCTCAAAATTTTTCTATTAAACCTGTATGTAGGTAGCCTTATTCAGAATTTCAAATACCTTTACTTTGAGTTAATTGTATACATTTTGAAAGTGAAACGGTATAATTCAGCCATTTTAAACTTTTAACTTCACTTGATATGCATTATTTTTTCCTGAATTCCCTTCACAGAGAAACACTTATTCAGACGGAAACTTAACCTTCTGCCCCCTGCCTCCACAGCATCCATCCTCAGAAGGAACACACCATCACAGCCTTAAGGCTGTAAAGGAAGCATTTTACTCTATAAAGGATGCTCAGGTTACACACAGGTGGCAAGTGAATGAGGCAGGAATTAAAAAGTAACTAAATGCAAATACACGTTATCATCCATTCCTAGATGTATGATTACTGTGATTTGCATTTGAGGCACAGTGTGGAATATAGTCTTTATGTGAAGTAAAGCCTCATCTAGGAAGAACTCAAGGGACTATGAAACAAAAGCAAAACTTAACTACGCTGAGTTTACGTCCCAGAACTACACGGGAATCTTACACTTGCAGAATTCCAAGATATTTGAGTGAGTTATCCTAGCAGAGTACCACGCAGTAAGTACGAAGTTGCTTCACTGCCGTTCTCTACTACTAATGCCATTTTGTCTTAGAATTCCCATAGCAAGGAAGTATTTTTAGTTCAGAAGAAAGAATGCTAACATATATAATAAAAATTAACCTGAATTTACTAATTTTAGAACTGTGCTACTATAATAAACAAGTCAGGTTACACACTCCAGAACAGTGGTTACCATCTTTCACTGACCCACGAGAAACAAAAATCAATCAGTGTACTGCCAGATGGGACCAAACTTTGTTCCACATTGCTCAAGGTTTTCACATTTTAATATTCTGGGACCATGTGCAGCATTGTAGCATCTTGGTGGTTATCATGCAGTTTGGTAGCCATGGATTTGGAACAGCTACTCTACATTGCTTGCAGCCACCTTTCCCACCTTCTCCTTGTATGTCAAAAGAGATCTTAACCATTAAATACTTCCAGGTGGCAGATACATCAGACATACAAACAGTTAAGCCTCTGAAGAAGAAAGATCATTTGCTTGCCTCCACCCTGCATCATTTTGTAGATTTTACTCTCGATGTGGAGCTGAGGATGTTTGGTTTTCACGCATTCCAACTTAATTGCAACCTCCTCTCCAGCAGCAATATCAGTTCCTAAAAACAGAGTAATTTAAAACATTGGTCAAAATATTTTTTTAAGATGCATTTCCTTTGTCAAGACTGAAAAAAAGCAAATATTGACAAACTACTCAATGACAAACATCCAGAGATAAAGTTCTTTCAACCACGATTATCTAAAAATTCTTCTGAAGTCTTACAGATTGTCTCCAACAGAGTAGCAGTTTAAGAGACAACTATTAGACGCTGTAGCACAGGAAGCCAGAAACTGCTGCTATCCCATTCAAAAAAAAATACAAATGAAACTTCTGAGGGGTGTCTTTCCACTTCCAGTTTGTGGTAGAAGTGCTCAGAATGAGTGTTTACAGGTGTGGCACGTATCCCTGCCAACCTAAGAAATGCTAGGAATTCAGATCACCTCCTCCTGCCTTGGAAGCAGAGACTACAACTTCCCTAAATTTCAACATACTCCAGATGTATTCTGACACATTATGATTTTATCCAGTTGGGAGGCAGATTATCTAGAACCAAGAATTTGTCCTCTCAAAAAACTCTTTTTAAATCTTATTAAATTCTTGTTTCAGGAATCAAGTGACCCAAAAATTGGCTTACCTGTTCACTTTCAAAGCTTAAAGGTATCTAAGGAAAAAATGACATTCTTAAAAAGAAACACTGAGTCAAAAACATACATACTGTCACAGCCAAGCAACTTAGGAACGACAGGAAAACAGGAAATGGCAAAAGGAGATGTGTGACAGTTTTTAGACATATTGACGAGTCTCTCTACTTTCAGAATTTGGCTTGCTCTTTTCTGCATTACCTCATGGTTTAGGATCACATGAAGCGTATCACCTGCTGTTTGTTCTGATCCCGGCTCTTAAAAGCTTAACTTGAAGTCTGCTAGTTTTTGTTTGGAAAGAAACAGTAAACAATCATTTTCTACTCACTCCCTCCAGAGTGATCAGGATTTCATAGACTTCTACCGTACCTCACTTTCCCTTAACTCTTTTCAGAGTTCAAAAACTCGTCAGTCTTTGTACAGAAGTAATTTTTATCTACTCCTAATTATTCCCCATTTCACTTACCTGTACCTTTTCCATATGCCCTTTTTGAGTTCCATAATGCCCCTTTTGAGAGTCACAAAAAGCAATTAAGACAGAGATGCACAATTATAATTTTTTTCTGCTTACCTATTTTTTTTTCCATATGCTTTTCTTTGATCATTACAGAGTACTGAGCTAACGTATTCGCCTAACTCTTACAACTGCAAAATCTTGTTACTGAGATTAAGGAGCTACTTCAGTGCTTTATAGCTTTTTGCCTATAAAGTAAGGTTAACCAAAGCTAACAAAGACAGGCTAATACCCCACACCTCAAAATGGGCACGACTCATCACTTCGCAAGGAACTACGAGTTCACACAAGACTATGCATTTTTCTTTAGGTTAATAAAATGTCTCTTTGTGTCCATGCACACATGAGTATTAAGGTGGTATTACTGGTACAGTAAGTTGTTCCAAGTGAACACCTGGGTCGATATTTATTAGACATTCCAAAGTGCATCTTAAGAAAACAAACCATGTGAAGCTCACTCTAGGTACAACAAGCACAACTCAAGGTGAACAACTGGAAGACACACAGAAAAACAAGGCTGTACGTATATCTGTCTCATAGGACTCCTTTGTAACTGGCACAATAAGTGGCAGGATACCCAATTGCTACTCTGGTCACAGCACAGTAGCAGCAACTGGAAACTGGCTCAAGAAAAATGTATAAATAATGCAAAAATCATGAAAACACAGCAACTGCAATGCCTCTGTGACTCATATCTATCCGACCTCATGGACTGAGCAACAAAACAAATGCTTACTCTGATCCCCTCCCTCATCCCTTGTCTATCTTTTATACTATTTAGAGTATCTGAGAATCCATTTCTTTTGTATCTTCCTCCAGACGGTAACTTCAAAAGACGCAGGTACACTAAATTCCTAAATTCTATTTTCTTTAAATTGTCCACACTCTTTTATTTACAACAGTGCCTTACCTTTCAAAATCCTGGCCCACAGACCCTGCCATTCTAAACAAGCAAAGCTGGGGCCATTCCAAATTCCAGAAGACATACTTTGAGGTACAAGGGAGAATAGGAGAGATTATGAAAGAACAATAACAGAGTCATTGGCCCCATATTCCAAAGAACTGATCAAAAGAAAGAGGGTCCCTCCCCTCTACTCTGCAATGCCTACAACGCTCTCATAGTTGCATTTAAAAACATAAAAGGGGACTGGAAACAGGCAAAAATAATCAAATCTTCCTTTTCAAAGAATAAAACCAAGCCAGAAATCTACATTGAGGTAATCCACAAATTTACTAAGGGCTACCAGAAGGCACGAGCACTTAAAAATTTTGACTTCTGAAAGAATTTTAAAAGTTATTTTAAGGCATTTATGTCCTACTGTACAGTCTGAACAACCAAGTAGAAACTTGGTATTATTATTTTTTAAAAAACATTTCATTATCACAAAAAAGCATAGATTTCAAGTGCCTCCATTTTACCCAATAATGATAGGCAAACCAAATGGTCCTCTACAAAAGGCTTCGGTTCTTGAGACAGTAATTTCCCCTGGAAAAAGAAACCAATGCCATTAGCCGGATCTTTCAGGCATATAATTCTGTGCTAGTTCCTGGCTCAGGCATGACATTTGCAGCAAGCCTTAAAAAGCAAACCTATGCTGGCTACTTAAGATATAAAAAGAAGAGGTTAAAAACTGAGGATGAGGAATTCTTGTGCAAAATGCAGCATGGCAGCAGTACTAATATACAGAGAGTTATTATTTCCTGTGCAACTTTACTGGTGTTGGCTGTACACATAAACGTATACGTAAAACATACATTTTAACAAATAAAAAAATGTTTATTTTACTTTCACATTAAATTTATACTATAATATAAACTGATTTACCATAGCATTAGTCAAATGCTGAAGTAGGAGTTCCTCAAATCATCTAAGATTTTTTCAGATGCTAACTGCTATCTTAATCTCGACCCAAAATCCCAACAGTAGCTAAGAGGATTTTTGCACAAGCGTTACCACCATCTTTTTCACAATAGTCTTCAATCTTTTATGCAAGCACTGCAGAAGAAAAGAATCATTTTCTCTGCCTCTAGACAACCACGTGCTTTCAGCCAGAAACACGCGATTTTTCATCAGGTATATGATCTATATTACAGATAATTAGTATTTCATTATCTGCTAACAAGCTGCTTTAGCCAACAAATTATTTTGGAATGCCAGCTGTGTGCTGCAATATCAAGCACTGCTGTCTAGGAAGAAAAAACACCTCTCGTACTGCATACACTGCCAAAACATACCACATACATCAGCTAGTGACGTTGTTTTTACCCTCCAGACGTATGCAGTTAATGTACCTTAGCTCCTGCAAGTTCCACCTCCCTCCCTTTTTGACTTGCTTTACTAAGTTACCACAATTTTCCAATTTTTTCAAACTCGTTTCTTCGTGGCAAAAGATAAAATTCATATTTCACTGGATTTAGCCCATTTCTTACGTTTTAAGAGTTTGCAGAATGTTTTGAGTATTTTAAAAATACTTGCTTTCAAAACCTGTACCCACCACTGTTTGTCATAAGCACTAAGACGTTATGACAGAGAACTACATAAACAGACAGGCAAAGACAATGCCAATCCTGCAAACTTTACAATTGCACAGAAATAACGGTAGCAGAATAATATATACACAGTAAGGCATTAGGGCAACATTTGAGCAACAGGATAGCCAAACTACGATGATTTTTTGAAGGATCCGAGAGATTTTTTTTAACTGCCACCTAGTCATCCGTAGTCGTGTAGTTTTTTTCTTAGGCCTCACAAAAGAAACAAACATCCCTATGACAGCAATTTTTCCTAGTCCATTGCAGTGATATTTAACCCTGATGCACATTTCATTCCCAAAACATTTTTCTGAACGTGGTGTTTTTTCGTTTCCCTTTTTTCAAATGAGAGGATTTATACCCTTATCCCCATTTTACAGATCAGAAGATTAACGGTGCCCAAGGTCACAAGACAACAATGGGAAGAGGCAGCTAAATAAGCCAGAATTTCCGATTTCCGAACTGTCCAAATTAGGACATGATGTCAACGAAATAGTAAATCGCTATTGCTGTGTCCCTAGCAAGGTACTTCATATCAAAGGGCATTTCTCGGACAGCAGCGCAGCCTGAGCTCCAGCTGGGGTGAAATGAGGTCCCGGGTGCTGCCCCCGGCCCAACCTCGACGGCGCTGGAAACGGGCACAGCAGCGCGCAGCGCCCACCCCGGCCTGGCCCCCGACGTTCTCCCCACAGCCACAGAGCCGCCACGTTCGTCCCCAGCGAGCCACCCTCCTTACCCAGGTAGATGTCCCCAAAGGAGCCGCTCCCGATCTTCCGGCCCAGCCGGTAAC